GCTGCTCTTCATTGTAGATGGCTCAGCCTATGGGTATTTGGCTTGTCTTGATGGGTGTTGTGTGGAATGTTAAAATATGCCTAAAAGCGGTTAATAATGAAAATATATAAAGATAATAATAAATGAATATTGGACAGCGACAAAATGGGCATCGCTTCTACGTTAAACCAGCACGGTTTGTTCATGGTGGCTGGTCGATGGTTTATGCACGGTGCACTGCTCGTGTGACGTAGGGAAACTATTGACAGATCATTTCACCGACAGAAAAGGCTATAGCTGAATAAGTGGCTTCAAGAGCTTATTCTCGTTGTAGGTGATGCTCAAACACCGGCCGATGTACTGACATGGGAAGGAGGCCATCCCATTTCATAGAGTATAAACTAAAAAAAAAACAAGCATACTGATACCTATTGCCATAAAATTTTAGGTCCTACTTACGCGTTACATGCAAAGCTTGGCTAGTTTTTGCTAAGGAACAGACGCATTTAATAACGCGCAGCAACTTTCAAAGTCGGGTTATTTCAATTACCGTAAACGGGGGTGACTTTGCCATGTTTTCAACTTTAGACGCTTGTATTCTTTACACTTCTTAACTTGTTGGGATGACTCTATGTTCAAAACACGGATGATGAAGATTAGCTCTTTTGGTTTTGCTATTATCGTATTTATATCTTGCCTAAAAATATATTTTTTAAAGAAAATGAGTCGTGGCAAAGTTAAACTGAAAAAGGGGTGACTTTGCCACTATGTCAAAAATGTTTTTTAACGCTTGCAAATAATTTTTAAGTATTTTTGTTCCATGTATGGGGAGGCCAACCATCTTTAATTGTTTAATAGGACAAAATGAAGCAATTCAAAGTTTTTTGCTCTTAAATGATGTACAAAAAAGGAGAGATACATTACTTTTATAATACATTTATTTGTTGAAAATTATGACATTGATAGTAAATAGAAACTGAAAAATGGTTCAGAATAGACAAATAAGCAAAAATATGATTCTATCGGTACTCTAGGACCGCGCCACATTCCTCCAGCGGCATTGAGAGGAACAGAAAGAAGACGTTCTTGCGGCAAATTACCGGCACCCTTATTATCAGCGTTTTGATCTATAAAATTATACCGATTTCTTCAGCTAGTTTACTGGCAAACTCAGGAGTTGTAGATGATCATGACTGTGCTGAAAAGTTGGGCCCAGCTTCATCCATTTTTTTTTAGTTTGGTAATTTTTGCCTTTCTATACTCCCACTGTGCATTCCTGTGCTAATTTTTAAACGTATAAACTCTCACTTTTTTAAAAACCAGTTTAAAAACCAGCCCATAAAAACCAGTTAACCAGATGCTACATTAAAGATTATTTTGAATTGCATTGGATAAGTAGGTAGTCAATTTTTGCATAAATAACATGGTGGCAAAGTCAACCCATGTGGCCTGCTATTCACTTGGAAAAATCGCCACCAAAAATTTTAGCTAAATGAAGTGACAAATGCCAGTTTTGTTGGATATGCTAACTTAACAGCCTTGTCATGATCAACCATACCAAGCTTCAGCATCGCAGGTTGTCTAAGACATGGTTAGATAATAAAAGTTTGAAACTCTTCAAATTTGACCATTTCAATGACTCCAATAAAATGGAGCCCAGTTAGTTATTAAGTGGTAACTTACCTATCAGTGTTAGTTATATTGGGAGGCCCATCAATTACCTTTCATTTGTGCAAACATTACTACATTCCTCGTAAAATATCATGGGAGATCTCCCTAAAGCATTTTTCGAGAAGCATGGCAAAGTCACCCGGCGAGGCAAAGTCACCCCGTTTACGGTACCGATGTCACTGAAATAAAACCTTACAAACAGACGGCTACCATCCACACGCCGAGCGACCCGGCTATGTCTCTGTCGGTCCGCCGCCCGGAGCCGACGGGCCGGCCGGTCAAGGTCACCTGGCGGACTTTGCCCCCGGGAGGTAGGCTGACCCGCTGGTGCCAGGCGACGGCCGGGACAAGCGCGGTGGCTCTGCTAGCTTAGGGGCTGGACGGCGAGCACAACCCGTCGACACACCACAGCAGCATTGTATAGTAACACTCTCTTAGTTCGTCTATCTGTTTTTCCTCGTCTTGTGGAAAACGTGTTTGGCAATAGTTGATCCAGCTGAACACGTTTTATTCCGTTTCGACTTGAATCATTTCCAACCAGACCGCCACTCGCCAGCCCCGCCAAAGATAATTAATACGATCGTGAACACATGGTTGTGTCAGCTTAGGTCACTGTAAGTTGGATGGAGATTGCAGGGAATCGAAACTATCCCCTAATTGGCGTGCCTACCTAAACTCCACGATGCCTAGTTCATTGCTAAAATTGCCCGAAGCGCCCGATCCATTTAGGTCCCCGGTGTCTTATATTGTGAAATTGTGCGGTGCATAATAGGTGCTGGTTGGATCTGCGCTTTGTGATCTCATTAAGTTTGGAGCTATGTCAACCAAACAACTCGTTGTCTTTTTTCAGCGGACAGCAGCTTTTTACTGGCCAATGCGCAGATTGTCGACTACCCAATTGTCTACTGCAACGAGACATTCTGCAAAATATCCGGCTTCAACCGAGCTGAGGTAAGAACAATAAACTGGTGACCGTTCAGCTTAGTACAACAAAGCACTTCTGAAATGTATCCGGCTTCAATCGACCCGAGGCAAAACAGGAGCACCAAAGTCGTGAAGATAGGGTGTTTTTCTGCGGCTCTTTGCTATAACGATATCGGTATTTGTTGACTATGGAAACTCCGGTGTTGCAACACCAATGCCATAAAGATAAATTAATTCACAACTGCAGCATTACGTGTTGAAATGTACGTAGAGACGTGTTTTAAACAATTTTTATTTCATTTTTGCTTGAGCTGCTTCGAGCGTTATTCCACGTCTAAAATATCTCGCCGTCACAAAAACCTTTTAAGAGTCGTAAAAACGTTAACGCCAATCATACATATAAAAATTTACTCATTACATGAAACACTCAACAAAAAATGATAGGGTACATTTTCATTATTTCACCTGTAGCTACCAACTGACATCCGTATGCATGTAATGGAGAAAAAGCAATGGGACCGTCATTTACCTCCTTTCACCTTAAAAACATCCGAAAAGCCAGTGCTTCACTGCCAATCTTCTGACGGCTGGCGCGGCGCTGGCCTCGCCTTCGCGTGTGGGTGGGATTCTGCAGCCCGCCGGTGGAGTCGGTCCATCTTGTCTCACTATCCGCTCGGTTCGCGGCGATTGGAGCGGGCGCGGCGCCCCGGCAGCGATGCAGCGGGGCGCCGGCTGTGGGCGCCGCTGCTTTACGGCGTGTCACTTCTGCGGCCGGCTTCCAGATCCTCTCTGCGCCAGCTACAGATGGATGGCCGCATACGGCCGGCATCCGAGCCCGGTGCCGAGGCAGTTTGTTTTCGTTTAAGGTGAATACAGCAGACAATATGTTTCCTTCCGCCAGCCGAACAAAGGGAAAGGCATAAAGATATCTGGAAAACATGAGTCGATGTGTTGCACAGTAGGTGGTGCTCTTTGTTGCCTTTTATAAGGTGTTTCATTCCAGAGCGTACTAACAAAGTCGCTGTATCAATTATTGCTAGGATACACCCAAGTGTCGAACATAGAGATCTTATATACAATATCTATGTATATACCGTAAAGTGGGGCTATTTGAGACAGTGGGGCTATTTGAGACAGTAAGGTAGTGGTTTAGTAAAATCGCTGTAAAATGAAAACCGTTTGATATTTTTTCGTCATTTTTGCTTAGGCTGATGTGGAATTGAACAGTGAATGACCTGAAAACCCTTTTTGAAAAGTTTCGAAGAGTTTTGAAAGAAATTTGGTGAAAATATGAAATACAAAAAAAACGCACATTAAGTTGCTCGAAAAGGACCCCTACCTGCCGCTTAACATAGTTGAAATTTTAACA